TATGGAATCCAGGATGTTAAGATTATGTGATTAGAGGTTGTGGCACATTCCTCTGATTGAATCCTGGATGTTTACTCTATCATGGGAAAATACTTTACAGTTGGCCTTAGGAGTCGATGAAGAATATCAACATAGTGTTCTGGGGAAATCTTCTGTGATCGAATCAGGCTGTTTCCTCCATGATAGAAAGAACACTTGTGAATCTTCCTAGGAAACTGATGAAAGAAAACCTCAATCAAATGATGAACTTCTTGGAAAAAGATTCTTCTCAGATTCCAACATTGCTGAAGATTTCTAGCAGGATCTGCCAAACAATCAAGTTGCGAATTCACAAAACAACTCTTGAAATGGCCACTTCAAGTCAAATTTGTAAAATGTATTCATTCATCCAGTACCGCAAGCCAAATCATCAGTCTGGAAATTATTGGCAAACTACATTAATTTTGCTTGCATTGAAAAAAAAACTGGTCCCACTCTTAATTTCCATTTCAACAGGAATTCGGGCATCTTGCCCCAATTTTAACGAGCAGGATCAGTAGGGGGTTTTTTAGCATTCTTGGGTTTTTCGGGTATCGTGTTTATTCTTTTGTACAAGGCCTCTTCCTTTTGGTACTCGTAGACATTTTTTATACAGTGAGCAGTCTTGAGAGCCACAACTGCCACAGTCACAGTGTAACACATGCGATAGATCAAGCTCATTTTCACAATGCAATTTAATTTTGTTCAAGCTAAATAAAAATTCTTCGCTTTCATAGAAAATTTAAGAGGGAAGTCTTGTGTATCTATGGTAACGAACTGTGTTTAATCTAATTTTGTCCCTTATGTGATGAATCTTGACACTTGTTATTTTTAATTTGTCAAATCTATTCTTCACTGCAGGGCAAGACTTTTATAGTTTGATCAAAATGATGAATTTAATGCACTTAAAAAATGTTATATTATAAAATCAGTTGGATATATCAATGTCAAAGGAACAGATAACTATTCCTTATCTCGTTAGATTATATTTATTGTAGGGGTTGGTACTTGCCTTTTTTGGTCTACTTTTAACAATTATTTGTAGATGAGTTAGTTTGAGGATGTGAGCTGTGTTCCAAGTTTTGGAATAGACTAACCATGAAGTATGTTTAATCTATATGGGTTTGGTGAAGTCGGTGAATTAATGTCAAATCAAGTATTAAAAAAATGTGTACAGGGTTTTTACTTTGATGTACATATCTAGCTAGGGGGAACAATGCATCTAAGCCTCTCTACATACAAAACATGCGGAAATACAACAGTGCCATCACATTTCATCTCATTTGCATGATTTGTTGCCAACAAAGCCGGACTAGGTTATGAATGTAGTTCACCAAATGTTTAAGATTTGTGGTCAAATTCACTACAATTTATGGTCCATCCCATCCACTAAATACATGCACAGCTTTATGTGATCGAAATGGCCAAGCCAATTGACTGGGCTCGCATATCAATAAAGTTCAAGTTTTACAGCAACCTCAAGCACGATTTCACAAAACTACGCAATAAGTTAATCAATTAGAAACTAAGTACACAATGTTAAATACATTGGTCAATGTAGCAAGAGAAGAAATCAAAATTGCATAAACAAAACTCATGAAACAATTATAAGACCTCCAAAAAAACCTTTTGGACAGCCTATAGCTGATAAATGACAGGAAGTACTTTGTTCAACGAATTCATCAATCACGTTTTTTAAGGTACACAATCGTCATACTCATTATTATACTTATCCTCCCTTCTTTTAACTAAGATTTTAATAACTTCACTCTTATCTATCGCAGTTATTTGAATTTCCATAAAACCTCAAGAGTAACTTTCAGTTTCGACGGGCTTCCCCTAGTTCTTTATATATTTCTTTTATGATGTTTATTCTATTCAGATTACTAAAAAAATGTAGTTTAAGATCAGGCATTAAAAAACCCAAATTAGCAAGTTGATCCTGAAAGCCAGAAGCTACAAACTAAAATTTGTACTTGCACTACCTTTCTTCCAATATCTTACACATTTGACCACCTTCCTCAGTTGTTTTGATGTTCATCTATTTTTTCTTGGCCAAAAATATCTATTTTATCTTTTTTTTGCTTAATAGTTCTTCACTGTTCACATAGGTACTGATTATCTTTTTTTTTTTGTTAATTTCTTCTTCCCAAATGATCCTAGGGCCCCTGTATCAGATGGTAATTTTCAATCTTTCTCTTCCTTAGATAACATTTTGACTGAACCAATTCAGAAGAACATCATATCTTAAAAATGTCAAGAAAGTTGATCACATGTTTGTACTGATAACTGTAGGAAATGGGAGGAGGAAGGCTGGGGGAAAGTGAGATTCATAGATATGAATAACAGCACACAGTGTTAGTGTTGTTATATCCATGGGGACAATACTCTGTGTCATTCTACCACAGTGCATGTAGTTATTCCCCACCTACACTGGGAGCCAATAAATCTCACGATTTAGGTATGGTAGAAGTAGTTTAGTATGGTAATTGTATTTTCTCAATACTTCTTACTAGAGAGGTTGGTGTGTATAAGATTTTACCAACACTCCCCCTCAACGGCAGGGAGAAAGTATGTGTCAGAATGCTGATACCGTTTATTTGTATTTTTCACCAAGCGCTTTTGTCTGCATTTTTAGCTTTTGTCTGATGGAACTGTATGTGCCTTGTTTTTGCTGAGGTTCCTTTTAATTTGTTGGATTGATTTTATTTCTGTGGGCGAGGTTTTATTTTCCTTGTTTGTATAGACTACAGCAGGAAAATCTGATTCTTCTATTATAATTTACATTTATTATTCATGCTACATATCTATATTAATAAAAGAGGAACTATGTATGTGTGTGTGTATGTATATACGTTATGGACTCCGAAACCGCTCGACAGATTGTAATGAAACTTTCAGGCATTATTAAGCATCTTTCAAGGATGGTTCGAGTGAAGTTTGGTGCAGATATATCAAAAGGGCTCTGCCCCAGAGGGTTTTAAGTGGGCCAATGTCAGACTTTTTGATCTACAATGTTTACAAATAAATATAATTTAAAAGCAGATGTTTACTTTTACCAACTGTTTTGTAGGTTTGAATAATTACAACATTCTGTATTAGCATTAGTCATGATTTGAAATAGTGCCACAGTGTTTCTACAGAGTGCAGCACAGAAAACTATTTTACTTTTGAATAAGTCCAAATGTATTAAACCCCAATCGCAGCACACCTGTGCACTTAACAACGTTTAAATTCTCCAATGTTAAATATTAAAACATAAAAACCTTTAATAAAGTATTATAAACAATAAAAGGGATGACTTTTTAAAATTTATGACAACGGCTAATTTGCAATCAAAAGGTGAGTGAGTGTAGCGAACGAACATCAACCTGGAGGCGAGTTAGCGTAGCAAACGAGCTAACCTGAAAACAAGTGAGCGCAGCGAACGAGCTCCAACCTAAAGGTGAGTGAGCGTAGCGAACGAACTTCAACCGGGACGTGATTGAGCCATGCGAATACTTATGAAGTTAAACGGGGCAAAGCCCGTGGGTACAGCTAGTATCTTATAAATCTTATAAAATACCTAACAATAACCCAGTCCCACCCATCTTTAAACCTTTAATAAAATACACATAAAGAAGGATACCCATCAAACTTAATCACTGCATTTCCATCTCCATCAATCATAGTAGCTAATTATGTAAATGTACTTATTAAAAACAACATCCCACACACATCAAAATCATTATGCAAACATGCAAAAGACTTAATTAACAAAATACAATTGCAAGACATCTCAGACAGATTTACCCTTGCTACCACAGATGTTGAAAACATGTAGGGAAAAATTTCACATAAAGAAGCAATAGATGACGTACTAAACAAAGCTCATAGCATCCAACAACTTTGCATATGACGAAATCAACAGTATTTAAAATAACTGCATCCATAAGAAAAGAACTGAATAAAGCTACTTTATTATGGTTAAATATATTATGACCCTCAAGGTCTGTCCATGGGAACTATGATCCATATTAGCAGAAATCTACATACCATACTCAACCAAAATGAAATTTATCCATGTTTTCCTCCGTCATTCACATGAATCAGTCAGTCAGTGTACCGGTCCGCACAACGATTAATAATAGGGCCAAGAAATTATTGAATTAATAATTATTGAAATTAGTAGGATTGACAAGTTTAAGAAGATTGAATAACTAGTATCTGAAATATGATGATTTTAGCGAATTTCCTTGTAGGGAAGTAGCTATTACCGTATGTGGCACGGTAAGACCTAGGCCCGGGACCGATTTACTTTTTCGTGTTGATGTCCCCAGAGCCCAAAAACACAATTTGTTCAAATTTGTATATAATGTGTTTTTATATATACAGTATTTATATATACATCTGTGAACACGATAGCTTGAGTAATTTTTGTCCAATTTCGATGAAATTTGGCTTGAAGGTGTAGGGCAAGATAAATTTGAATGAGTTCGCGAACCAGCATGATCGGACTATGGGAACGGGGTGTTATAGGGGGTCATATGGGGTAAAACTTGTGTTTTCTTATTTTTGACCCTAAAAACATAAACATAAATCTAAAAACACAAAGTTTCCCAATTTCTCTGTCGACTTTATTAAAAAGCTAAAAAAAAAACATATTATTTAGTACATCAAAGGGATTTTGTACGGTTAATGGTAACGGACAAAATTCAAAAAATTGTAAATTAAAAATGTTCATGTTATTCTTATGGAGAATATTGTAAAATGCCGTAGTTTGCTTGTTTATGGATATAGTTTGATAAAACTTGGTACTGTACTGTAAATGTATTTATTTTATACTAAACTATTATTATTTTACAAAAAATTGCACCTAGGTACCCATTTAACCTAATATTAATTAAATGGATTTAATTAAAATCAATTCAGGTAGATGGAAATTCGCTTAGTCAGCAGGTTTGTTGCGGCGGGGGTATTTTTATCTAGCATGTTAATGTTACCTTTCATAGCGTCAATATCAAATGGGTTATCTTCCTCTCCTTCATCTTCTTTGTCCTTTCCCTCCCCATCATCCAGCTGAAGGTCGTCTGGCAGATCCAAGGGTTCTGGCTCAGGCGGAGGCTGGTTATTTCCTGAGAGTCAAGAGTCAATATTAAATTAAGATACATGATACAACACCCACAAAATAGAGGATAGGTTTACCTGAAAAGACAATTTACAATAGTTTGCAAAGAACATTTCTAACATGGAGGTAAGTTCTCATCGATGTTTATAAGATTGTTTTTGATGATATTTAATTGGTGGATTCCCTTTTTTATCAACTCAATTTTTTTAGATTATTTACAAGATCAGACATTCCACACCCTTATTTAGAAGAAATTATTATAAGAATTTTTTCAAAATGTGTTTTTCAATAAAGACATTGAAGAATAAAAATGACAGTGTAATTTGCTATATTGGTAAGATATGCTAGTAATTAGAGCGCTAGTTACCATGGTAAGGATCTATCTGATCATCGTCCACCTCAGGTTCTTCCATCTCATTTATCTCTTTTTGTTTGTCATTCTTCTGTTCCCCACTATCCTCATCATTGTCTCCACCTTGAGGTGTTTTCTCGTCATCTTTCGCCCCCATCTGCTTCTCTCCTGTCTGTTCACCCCGATCCCCTTGCTCTTCCTCCAATTCTTCGCTTTCCTCTTCTTCATCTTCCAAATCACTTCCACCCCAAATCTGAAAGAAGGTTTGGTTTTTTGGTCACAAAAAATTATGATAGGCTGGCAAAAATATAGTAACAAATTAGGATCATAAACCAGTACAACTAAACAAATTACTATCAAAATTGTTAAAAAATAAACTGTAAACGTTAACTTAAAAATGTAATTTTACCTGCTGATCCAAAGTTTCAGCTCCTTTATCAGTATCTCCCATTTCTTTATCTGGTTCTTCTTCATCACTATCTTCCCCACTACCATCTTCATCTTCTTTCCTTTCGACATCTTGTAATTTTCCACCAAAGTCGTCAGACATCTCAATTCCTTTTTCTTCTTCCTGTGAGATAAATTCAGTTTTGTAAAACACAACTTTTGTCTAATTGTTAATAGGGAAGAACTAAATAATTTTTAAGTTAGCTAAATTATAAAATGTTATCTTTAAAAATATATCACTTTTACATTTGCATCTATGCTGGGTTAAATAAATAAAAAAAAAACTATCAAACTATTGATCATGCATTCCACCATACCTTGCAGTCTTTCTCCTCCTCCTGCTCGTGCTCTCCTGGTTTTTTGGCATCCTCCAGCTGATCCTGACTCTCAATCTCCTCTGATACATCCTTCTGTCCCTCCCCCTCTCCCAGACCCATCCCTCCCTTCGTTGTCTCCGTTCCTTCACCATCCTCCTCTTCCAACAGCTCCTCCGGAATTCGGAAACCCTGCGGAAGGACAAAACAGATTGAATTCTAACGTTGTTTCGTTTTTCTGTTTTTAGACGTTGGCACCGAGTTGAGTTGACTCGAGTAAAGAAACACTCGACTCGTCACATCATTATATAATTATTGTTATCCAATTGCGATGAGACACTATACTTATTACTGATTTTTCTTGAGAAAGGAAGAAGTAGAATGACAGTTACGTAATTAGAAACTAGAAAGTGATGTGTTGGCAAGACTGATTTGGTCCGTTCAAATTAGTGCCAGTTTTGTAACTGCAATTCTACTTCTTTCTTCTAAAGTAGCCCCTTGTAGGGGTGAAATTATCAAGTTGATTGTGTTCCGAACTTTCTTTGTGCTTTCAACTACCTAACACTGTTTTCTTAGGTAAGTTAGTCGTTTACCCATTCCTTCTTCAATATTGTTATAATGTATTCCTAAGCAAAGTGCTTTTTCCACCAAAAACCTACATGCTTTTAAAAACGTCCACAGTCCATACAATCATTACAAATCAAAAGTTACAGATCAAATAGTTTAACATATCTGTAACAGCGGAATAAAGGAGACACTATTTTGGGAGCTAACTTTTAAAGGTAAACAAAACATATTGTCTGTTTTGTGAATTAATAGTGTAGTAAAACAAAAAGATTGCTAACCACACAGGCTAAAAGTGTCTTTTCAACCCTCCCCCATTTGACCTCGACCATTTAACTAGAAACATTTGTCAAGAATGTCTCTAAACCCTATGATGAAACTATTACCTTGATTGCGAGATCAACGAACAGTGTAAGAAGTGAAGAACACAGTTGAGCAGATGAGTGGAGAGCTGATATTTGTTGAGTAATGACAAACTGTGCCAGTAAACTGTACTGTTGCAACAATGGTACACACTGCTTCAATCTCCTAAAACACAAAACATATCAAATAATTCATATTGAAACAATTTTAGAATTTAAAAATAGAAAGGATTTGTCAGCAAATACCCTTGTTACATACACAACCAAACCTCAAACAATAACAATTGACTGCCTATACCTATTCCAATCCAAATTAATTTTCAATAAATTATAACTAATTTTCTTACCTAATTTTTAAATTGAACAGACATTTACTTTTTAGCGAATTTCCCATATAGGGAATAAGCTATTACCGTAGTACTCATGGAAAGAGCTGGACCCGGGACCGATTTTTTTTTTTTCGTTTTGAGGTCCCTAGAGGCCAAAAACACCATCCGTTCAAATTCATATATAAATGTTTTTAGGGTACTGTGGTATTTTGATTTACTTAGTAATATATATATATATATATATATGTGTCCGTTAGCGCGATAACTCGAGCAAAAATGATCCGATTTTGATTAAATTTGGTACAAACGTGTAAACCTACGTTTATTCGAACGAGTTCGCAAACCAGCATGATCGGACCATGGGAACGGGGGTTTATGGGGGCTTTTATGGGGTAAAAATGGGTTTTTCCAATTTTTGACACAAAAAACATAAAATTTTGCAATTTCTTTCCAAACTATTTTGTAGAGCTTAAAAAAACAAATAATTTAGTATATTGAAGCGTTATTATGCGCCTAATAGTTACGGAGAAATTGTTAATTTAAAATTCCCATGTTATTCTTATGGAAAATAAGTAAAGTTGTAGTTTGCTTGTTTATTAAAATATTTTGCCCAAATTTGGAAAATGTTTTAATTTCTTACTAACTATTAACATTTTACATAACTTTTACCCTCCCTGTTGCAGCAAACCTAAGTATGTGTTAAACTGATTCTATTTAAATAGGGAATAAATGTGATATTTTTAAGAAGACATTTTAGTGTAAATCCAATCAGGCAAATGGAAATTCGCTTAGTCTGCAGGTTTGCTGCGGCGGGAGTGTTTTTTATTTGAGAAGAAACAAGTAAATGAAATGACCAGCCACTAAACCAAAGTGCTTGCTAAAGGTCAATGGCATAGAATATAATTAATAGCTCACCATCTGCTTGGGCCATCTCCTATGCACTGAACATGAAGTCTTTGCACATCTCTGGTAATTTCTGATAGCTTCAAAATATCCTGTTCTTTTTTCAAAACATTTAAAATAGTCTCCTTCAAGTGGTTCTCGTAAAGTTTGTCTTCATCTTCACTTTCCTGCTTCTCCGATGTTTGCTCACTATTTTCAGGTTTCTGAACAACGCTTTTGTAATACTCTTGAATCGAATACAAAACTTTGTTCAACAAAGTTTGAACCGTCCTCCCATCTTGTGTGATTTCACTTCCAGTACTCTTCGGTTTTTCTGTTTCAGCAAGTTGATGATTGAACCATTCCAAATACTTATCAATCTTTTGTTGCACATCAATCCAACAACGTACGACCGGATTGATGTCGTTTGCGTTTCTCATCCTGAATACTTCTATGATACCATTCAAATCTTTCTTTATATCAATGAGATTCGCACAGCCGGTTTGCAGTGTGTTCAAATCTTCAAAGCAAGAAACAACCTCAAAATCTTCGCTCTCACAAGTCTTTTGGAAGTTTTTCAAAAACAACGTGTACTTCCCTTTTTCTTCAATTAGCGATTTACACTTTCTGGCAGACTTGGTGATAGATGTCAACTTAGTCTTGACTCTGCTCCAGTGTTCATCTCCTTTGAAGACAATGGTTTCAACACAGTCAGGAATGACAGTTGTTACTGTTTCGTCTATGACAATCACATCTTGAGCTTCTGGACAGGTTTCTATTAGTAAATGAAACTGGAGTGCGCAAAAGATTATATCTTCCAACAAAGAAACCATGTCATCCTGAAAAAATTCAAAGTATAATGATTGCTTTTATGTCATGTTTATTTTCTGAATATGAATGATTTATTCCGTTAAATTTGCTACAAAGTACAAAGTTTACATTTTTTACCATAATATTAAGTTTACAACATAAAATAATCAAGAACAGAAAAAATTAAGAAAGTTGTGAATTAATGTTGAATTATACAAAAACTAGCATAACGAACATAATAAACTTATAATTCCGTAGCTAGTTATAATTAATTGGTCTTGTGGAATCAGCAGACATAGACAAACTCTGCCTGTGCGTTTGCTGGGTTGCAAATAGTCTTTAATGACCTAAATTTGTTAATTGGGGATCCAAACGGAGATTGAATAAAAAATGGGAAAACAGATTTTTTTTATTTTTTTGAGGATGAAAGATATGCAATTGACATGAAATGAGTGATAGATAATTTCTGTGGGAGCAAATTACAGTTGGTTCGGCCAGGAGCTGTGCACAAGGCTGGGGGGTTGGTGGGGGAGGGACAGCACAGTACAAGGGTCAGGTCAAACAGGCCGGTAATCAGCTGAGATGATAACATCGGCCTCGCCCGTTCCTATATTTAGAAGGAATTCTTTAACCCTGATTTTAAATAAGTTGAGGGAAGGTAAATCAAAGATGGCTAAGTCATTAAAATAAGAGCCGATGTTACGAAACAGTATATGAGAAATGTAAAAGTAGTTAGTTGAAGAAAAAGAATAATTTTTTGTAATGTAGTGATACCAACTCTTGAAGACCTTGTGTTGTGTGAATATGCAAATCCATGGAAAATGTTATTGTAATTTTTGAAAATATGAATGAATATATTTTTAATGTAAATTTGGCGAATAGAAAAAAGGGACGTTTCCTCAAATAAAACGACTGACGGGAATCGTCTGCATCTTCCAAATCCTATTTTTATCATGGCAAAATTGTGCTACAAACAAGATAGTTATGGTATTTCTTAATTTGCCTTTAGTCTTTGAAGTTTTTATACAGTAAATAAATGTGCCTATCAGGCAAAGTTTGTGCGGCTGAGGACAGTGGTACTATGAAAGTTCATAAAGTGTAGAAATATATTTTGCTGTTAACATTATCCATCACGAAACAAATATGAGAAATGTGAATTGAACACAAACATGTCCTAATACCTGTATATCAATTTTGACCACATACTATATTTCCACTGCTCTTACAATGATAAAAATTTTCATACGACACTCAGTACTGTAAGTTTAAAGTCATTAAAGTATTTTTGGTGATGCTGAGTTAATAATGTGATGGAAAATGTCCGTAATAACCTCTTAAATAAAATACACTCAGTAATCAGGCCAATTCAATGACCTGAATGTGTTGGATTAGCCAGACTTAGTTTTAATAAATAACCTCAAAGTGGCATTACATTTAATCATAATAACTCATAAAAAAAAAAAAAAAAAAAAAAAAAAAAAAAAAAAAAAAAAAAAACAGTAGAACATACCTTTAGTTTGTCAAGGTCAGAGATGTATACATCCTTAGAGTTTGTCTTAATAAAGTTGAGCTCCTGAATCAGACATCGAAGTACAAACAAACTTGTCACTGACTCGCATATGTTCTTTTTCTGATCGTGACACATACCCTGTCAAATAAAGAGTAATATAAATAATGAACAATTTGGTATACTGTTAATTACTTATAAATAAAAAGTATTGCACAAGAATTTTGAAACTCTAAAACACAGTAAATGTTAAGCAACTTGTAAACAAAATTTTTTTAAACTTTTATAAGGCCTTATTAAAGTGAAAATTAGGTTTTACAATCCAAACAATGAAGAGAATAGACTGAGTTAAGTATTTTCACAAACAAATTAAAAAGTATAATAATTTAAGTTAATGAATAAAAATATATGTTTTATTAGAAAAAAATATGTAGGCCTAAAGATAATGCAACACTCTCCCAATCTGCACCCGATAACCCAGCATATGGGATATCTCAGGAAACTAAAAGATACATAGAACTCTACGCCGGAGTACAATACCATACTCGTCACTTTTACAGTCCGAACTTAACCGTGTTTGCGGGACTGTACACTATCAACATTTGCAATTCTCTATATTTGTTAATTTTACAAACCATCAGATGGTTGGTGAATCCTTTACATCTGTCAACAATAGCAGGTCCGAGATCCTTGTGAGGTTTGGCCAGTGCTGCCCTCAACTGGGACAGGTATGCGACAGAGTGAAGGAAATGCTCGTCACAACCTCGCCACGCCGCGGCCAACTCCTTGTCAGCAGATCTACAGGAACAAGATAAACTCTTCAAACTATCAAGTTTTGACAAGGAAATATTTAAAAATACTCATATAAGTTATAAATTTAAATATAAAATTGGTCTGTTATGTATTCAGTTTAATAAAATATGGTATAGTGTTATGGGGTAATACTGAATTTGCTAAAGAAGTACTAACAGCACAAAAGAAAATCTTGAGAATAATGACTTTAACACTGCCTGGGACTCTAACATCCTTAAATAATATATTCATTCCATTACCTAGAGTCAATCTGAGCAAGTCCAGCCATCACGTTGAGTGGTTGATGTTGAGTGAATGTGTCTACCAGAGACTTGGACCCGACGACTAGTCCTGTCCTGTAGCTCAGTCCTAGGTCTGCCAATTTGTGGAACACGTCTGTGAGTGACGCTCGTTTACGGTGCAACACACTACGCGCTGCCGAGCGTTGCCGTTCCTTGCTGAGTGTACGATCCACCTAACGTTAACATTTAAGTCAACATTCAGGTACAGGTGTATTTATACGTTCTGGTGTATTTATTTACAATGTTTAAAAACTTGACTCTGTGGCCTTATGACATATTAACTGAAATATATTAACTGTAGCATGAAAGCTGTAAATTAAGGACCGCAAACAGTTCTAACCACATCCAAGCAAGCAGTCCCTGAGGTCCCGGGTTCGATCCCCGCCAAGTCACCAATGGATTTTATCTAAGTGATAATGCCGCAACCCCTAGGTCTAGCCTGAAGTAATGTGAAAAACAATCCCAGGCTCGTGCCTAGCTAGCGTCCTTAGGACAAAAAAAAAAAAAAAAACTGTGATGAAATTAATACACAGGGAACTGACTAGAATTGAATTTGGTGAAATGTTGAACACAAAGTTAATGTCGAATTTCAACAAGCTTGCTTGGCAGTGACTGGAACTTGCTGACAAACAACCCTCGAACTAGTAAACGTTGGATCGTTTTTAGCTTTATGGCACATAAAATGTACCTACTTTATCTGCCTTATTTCGAGACAACACAAAACATATCCATAGGAACATTGAGCTTACAATAGTTTTCCACCAGAAAATTTTACATTTACAAGTAATTATTGATTTGCAGTTATGTATTGGCTACAAAGTCAACTCACATCTTTTGTGTTGAGCAGCTGACCAACTTCCTGCAGCAGTTCCACCACTTGTTGCAAAGCTGAGATATTTCTAGGAAGAGGACAGTTGGCTACACTGTCCCGACACAGCTTACGAGCTCGAGAAAACAGAGAACGTTCCTTTTCTATCGCATCATTTGAGTTCACTTCTTCGCTGTCTGGTGATGCATTCTAGAACAATACAAATACAAGTTTTATTTTGTTGTAAACTAATAGCCTTAACTATCGATAGAACCTCCCATTCCCATAGTCAAGTTGTGGTCAGTTTAGGAAAAACAATAGTTTCAATTGATTGACACTAAAGCTGATGTAAATTACTGATTTCTGTCAAATACACAAATTTTTGTAAGCGTATTGTAAAATAAAGCAGCTTTAATGATATTATATCAAATATCAATGTACTACCTCAAAGATAACTAACCTCATCTGAGACCACAGCAAAATCATGAATATCTCCAACAGTTGCTTAGATATTATACTCATTTTCCGTGGTCACTGTAAACTTCTGATCATCTCCCACGGTCGTTTAAGGGATCATCATCGTCTCCCACGATCACAGAAACTTTAGCATGATAATTCGCAATCCAAAAGTGTGAATTTTTCATATTGCACGATCTTTGCAGACGTGTCGGATATCATTATTTTCATAGACTCTTGATGATTAATTCTCCATACCGATACCAATGTCCAAGCATTGATGGTATCGAGAATTGGTTAAGAGAATCAACAAATCCCTAGCAGGAATATATGATATATGCAGAAATCACTTATTGTATATGATTTACCTCTATCGCAAGTACAGGAGCCACGTACAATGAAGCGTTGACAGTCACAACTTTGCCTTGGCCTGACACTGGATCTAGCCTTGTCATTGCCGAGGTGGCTGGTTGCTTCAGAACAGCCTGTTAACAGCAATCAAATAATTTACATAGGAAAAAATAAATAAACAAACAAAATACCAGGGCTCACACTGCACACTTTGATTTGTGATTCTTTTTAAATTGTCTCAAAGTTTTAGTTAAAATTTTAATTTGGTACCTAATGAATTTTGTAGAATATGACAACGTACTAATTTTTTTCATGTTTTCTTATTCACCTCATATTCTCGTATGTACTTGAAGAGAGTGCGATGAGTCTTGTCCACCGTCTCTTTGACTGCCCAATAGTTGATATCATTCCACCTCGCAATTTTAACAAAATCTTTCAGTTTTTTCTCCACAGGTTGACTGAGGTCTTTAATTCGGCGTTGTATCACCCGGTTGAATTGAGCGTAATACTGGTGGACGTTCCAAAATATGTTGGCCTGCAACTCTGAAAAGAAATCAATATTTTAGTTGTACATTTCATTGTCAATATACTTTTATTGTGTTTTTGTGATAGAAGAATGTAAAGTTCCACAACATTGAATACGGCTACGATACAAGATCTAGAGCATTGGTTTGTTATAAACGGCCTTCATTTAAATACTAGTAAGACGAGTTTGGTTCATTTTAGAAACTCACAGAGTAGAGAAGGAGAATTTAAACTAAGAATCAGCAGTAATGATGTGAAATGCCAGAGTTCAGTAAAGTTATTAGGTGTTGTGTGTGACCAGAACTTAAATTGGTGGGAACATACAACACAAAAGCAACATGTGTAAAATACCAAATAAGTAACTAAATAAGTTGTTCTAAGTAATTACCAAATATTTCTGGCAAAGTAGGTCTGGTGTCAATTATCAAGAATCTAATAATAGACAGAGAAAGAACCACCTCAAACATTGCTACTCATCCTTGCACATTAAAATAAATATACTTATGACAGCAGCAATCTAGCGTAGCCCCAACCAATCTCTTAATGCAAACAACTAACATTTAGCTACAAGTGTTAACTGGACAGCCAACTATGTTTACCTCCAAGATCTTATCAGTTACAACAACAACAAAAAAAGCTGCAGCAAACTTGCAGACTAAGTATGGATTTATATGACATTATATGGATGTGAACAGATGGTTTTTAACCACTGGGAACAATTTAAAAAATCGGTCCTGGATCTAGGTCTCATGGGAACTAGGGTAACAGCTTATTTCCTATATGGGAAATTTGCTAAAATATTCCCTACATGGAAAATTTGCTAGAATAATAGATTAATCAGAGCAGATTATTACTTTGTCCATTATTGAAGCAGTGGAAGTGAAACGTGAAGAGCAGGTCTAGTCTTGTCTGATACTCGCCCAAACAGCTGGTCTCCATAAACTGCTCCAGTACAGGTGCCAGCTGACCAGCGTCGTCTGACTCCTGGACCAGACTGTACAAGTGGAACCACCACTTGGTGACCACTCCGTCACACAACCTGTGGGATACAGTCATTTGAATTACTAGGATTCTGCAAGTCCCTGATATTTTTGAGTTTGTTTAAGGAGTTAGGAATCATTTTTTGTACAAGTCCGGTCATTTTCGGTACATTTTCGGTCAGGTTGAGCCGAGCTTTTATATTTTAGATTGCAGAACGCATCTTCAAAGATACGGGATTGTAAATTGTAATTTATACCAAGATCACAAGTGATGTTCACGGTTTTTGCTGCCACCGTAGATAACAATGATGATGTTGCCGTCAGAAGATATTCTTGATTTTGCCGTAACTGAGGAAGATGTTCAAAATTTTTTCTTAATTTTCTTGAGTAATCCAGTTAAACCTTGCCAGTACAAAAACTTAAAAGATAACACTAATGCGTGTTGTGTTTGTAATAATTTAGACTAAGTTAGTAAAATTTGGTTTAGGTTTGTACCTTTAATTTGCTTACTATTTATTATGCTAAGTTAAGCCTAGATTAAATACTTATAGCAAGACAAATGATTAATCTGAAGAATTTCTTAACAATACAAATTTAATGAACTAAAAATAAGATATTACAATGATGAATGGGGTAAATGAACAGATAACAGATAAGTTAAGTTATAGGGTTGCCATCTTTGGTTTAGCCTAGCTCAGTAAAAACAGAACAATGAGTTTACAATTTAGTTTATTTACATAAATCTCAGGGAGGGGAACTCGGCTGGCTAAAAAAGATCTTCAAATATTTTAATTTATGAAATAAAATATGTCAATTATTATGAAAAATGGGATAATTTTGATATTGCTCTTAGGCTTGGATAGGTAAATTAAATAAGTCCAACAATGAATAGACCAGGTGAAAAATTTATCAAAGTTGAATTTAGTTCTCTTGTTCAAATTGTTTTTCTGGGATTATTCTTGATGAAAATAAAGTAGTTTTTGAATTCAAATTATTAGGTTCGATGATCAGAAAGTAAATAAAATAGGTCTATTAAGTTGAATTTCTTGAAGGTAGGCTAAGCCTATACAAAATGGAGAGTTCTCACCAGATCTTCAGTAACAGTGTCCAATTTATATAAATCTTGAGGTGGTAGTACAAATTTGAAATGAAAAAAATATATATGTAAGCTAAACTGTTTTTCTGTAGTTAAGTTAGGTAATGTTAAGTTAAATAATTTTGATCACTGACTTTATAAATATTAGGGATTATACCCTCACTGCATTTAAGGTGTTGATGCTGCCATGTCCCAATAGAGAAGGAGGAAAATTTTAGTTTCACACAGGATGATCAGAGTTCATTGTTGAAGCCAGCTGTCTTCTTCCTTTATCACTTGCACATGCACTAATAGTCAGGCTTTTGGATATTAATTTGATGTTGGGGTTTTAGAAATAATTTATACTATATTAATAATTTTGGATAAAAGTGTTATTGCAACTATGGACTTAATTACAGGTTACAGGATTTTATTAACAATAATTGTTGAATATATAGGCCTACAATATATTTTAAAATGTGATGATGGTTTCTGAGGGGTGATTAAAGGATAATATAATTTAAATTTACTATTAATCTTCTGACAATTTATTTAAATAGGCTATATGGCGAATTTTGGTACAATAAAAGAAGAAGAATTATATAACTAAAGAATGAATGTAGTGAATGGTCTAAAAATGACATGTAACATTGCAAACTCCTAATCAGCCACTTGGAATTCCAATATTACGTTTATTTAAGCATTGATATACAAGATTAATAAAGCCCCCTTTTTGGCATAATTTTTGGAAATTCACCCAATCTTCAAATTCTCAGAGAATCCCTTTTCCATTATAAATATAGGAAAAAATAATTACATGAATCAGATTGTCCTTTACATGCTTAATAATCTCAGTTCAGGGATGCTTGAAATAGCAAATTTTTATTGAAGTTCTCATCACATGAAATATCTATCCTATTTTTTTTCGCATATAGGTGGAGGCACATCCTTATATGAGCCCTGAAACATTGGGTTAGTTAGGTGATTAGCAGTGAACTAACCCAGGCTACAGGATAGAAGTCCACTACACTTGCTGAGCTCCAATCATAGTTTGCTTTATAATACCCATTAACAGAATGTGGTAAACAAGATCATGAAATCAAGTTCCATTTACTAAACTTACCTCATTCTAGCAGATTCAAAACAGCCTTTCCACTGAGACAGCTCAAGCTTCCTCCAATCTAATATTTGCCTACAAAACAGAAAATATTTCAGTCAGAGGGGTATTTTTTTACAGGTTACCAGGGCAGTATTGTGTAAGAAAAGGCTTTAGGCTAAAATTTAGATTTGAATATTGAAGAGATAACAGATAGATTACCTTAAAAGTACAGGTAGACTTAAGGACACACAGAAGATAACACATTATTTTATTTTGTCCCTTGGAGAACTTTTTCAAGACGGCGAGAGTTCAAAAAATGGTTGCTACCATGGCTGTAACATGCCTGTTGTCTGGGTATAAAAAATAATAGCCACTCCTTTTGTTAACTTTCTTGGGAAAAGTCCTCCAGTGGACGAAATACTCCCTAAACAAAAGGATAATCAATAAACCTTTAGCTCACCTAGTAACAACATGTGCGTGAGGTGCTAAAGTGACTCCGGCATGAGCGTTCTCCTCCCATTCCTTCAACTTGGTCAGTAGCAGCTCCAGACCAACGAGGAACCTAGATACGGGGCTGTGTGAAGGGAACGATTCAACTCTTCCAATCACCATCATAATCTGTACAACAAAACATGGTCAGTAGTAGTTCTACACCAACAAGGAACCTAGATACTGGGCCGTGTGATGGGCAGTCGTCATTTAGTTTTATAGCCATGCATGTGCTTTAATGTTTTCCTATCATATTCGTATTTTGTGTTGTATATGTACTATTTATTAAACCTTGACATAATGAAAATGAAGAATAGTGGTTTGGTTTAGTGTACTACGCCTACACACCCAACGATGGAGTGATCTCCGAAATGGCCGTAATGCTATAACTTAAGACTGTAAGTAACCTATATATAATTTCTACACACAATCTGCCACACTGAAAAATCATAAACAAATTAAATGTAAGTCTTAACCATTGATTTTAACTATTAAGTTACTACGTTACGTTTGTTTCTATTGAGAATGAAGGTTTTTTTATTTTTTTGTATAAAACCGATATTAATTGTTGATTATATATGTTAAGATTTCTGTAAAACTATTTGTAGCCTATGTATTGAATGTATTGACTCTATTCATGTATGTACATACAGACCGAATAAAGATTATTGATTCTGATTCTGATTACACAGGTCTTAGTATTTTTTCTTTAAAGCTATCTCAGTCAACACCGAGTTTTTCTCTGAACTCACCTGATTCAGTGTCGGATGATCCGGCCATTCACCAAGCAGCTCCTTCACTCTTCTTTTCAGTGACTCAAGAATGGGAATACACAGTTTGACTTCGTTGATATTTGCATCGTGGTAAAAGTCATAATGTCTCCTCGAACAACTGACAACAGAGCCATGATTGGCCGCCAAGTATATGCCGAGACTCATCGCAGGAGCTAGTTCAGGGTCAAGGCTATTGTCACACCCTGCGTACTGTGCGTTCAACAACACAGAGAACAGAGTCAATCTCTCCATAAAAGAAGAGGTAAAGTTTGGTTGTTCCGGCTCTACAGGAGTGGCCCAATGTGTGCGTGTGTGTTTTGTCACAATTGCTGAATGGATTCTGTGGATGTCTAGGATGTTTTCCAGACTAAGTTTGAGGTTTGAGTCTAAATCAGTGTCGTCTGACTCGGCGGGTTTCTTCTGCTCCAAACTTGGTGGTTCTAGGTCTGCAAAGTCTTTGTCTCTGTATGATGGGAATAATTTTCTCATTTCGATAGCGTCTTCCTCTTCTTCCGTCAAGTTTTCAGGTTTTCTTGGTCTAAAAAAAACAATAGTAATTTTGTAAGACAGTGAGTAAGGTTAAGTGACCACACCTAGTTTTGAATGAAAATAAAAAAGATGACTTCTGTTTTTGATCGCCATTTTTAATATACCAATAACTTAAACATTTCTCATGCAGCACCCTGTATTTTATGCTGCACTTAAGATTAAAATAAAATTTAAAGTATTTATTAGTTTTGAATTTTTTTCATAAGCCTACTTGTTTAAAAGCTACATGTTAAACTTTAGTGTAGGTGGCTCATATTGCATGATAATTAGAAAAAATAATACGGCTAGCTGTGAGGATAAAGTCTCCAATTTTTTCTCTAAATCTAATAGTTTTTGAGACTCCAACGATGATACAGTTATGTTCACTCTGCATACCAAATCTTGTCCTTGACGGACATACAATGGAGAAGATAAGCGAGTTTAAATTTAACCATAAGAGAGGCTACAGCTTGAACAGATCAGAATAAATAAATATTAAACAACTGTGTATGAAGCTCATATTCAACGCAGAGGTGAGAGAGAGAGATAGTAAATCAAGTGATAAGAGGTACTCTTGAGGGCAGGAGAGCATTGGGAAGATCAAGGATGAGATGGATTGACGGAGATAGAAAGGACCTATGAACTGGCAGAGGACAGAGGATCCTGGAGGCACATGGTTGGTGAGGCCAAAGACCGCCTTGGGTTTCAATGGCCACAGGAGTAAGTATGAAACTCACTTGTTGATGAAGAACTTGCCCTCCTGTTGTTCTTTGAGCTCCTTCTCCTGCTGCTGTTTTCTCCAGGCTGCAACCAGGTGGTCCAGGATGACTCCAACACAGCTGATCTCATCTCTGGCGAGACTGCCTCTCACACTCACCATGTTCATCACCTCCTCTAGACTACACTTGGCCAGTCTGTCAAACAAACACACAATAGGCCATGTCATCGGAAAAGTGTTAGAAGTCTTTCATCATCAAGTAATCAAGCTGCACACTGTTTACTTTTGCTGAGACTTTTTTATGGAGTTTTAAGGATGAAAAATCACAGGGCTTAAGCTAAGAAAGAGAGAACAGACACACAAATCACCCAAGAAACGAGTTCAAACTTTGAACTTCAAAGTAATTGATAGCACAAAAAAATGTTCACAACAAATTGATATTTCAACTCTGCAAAGGGTTTTGATCTTCAGAAGGAAGTAGTACACTGCCAAACCTTTGGAGGGGCAATATATAAATACATTTTATTGTAAACTAGTTGAGTTCCTTAAAACTGTTTGGAACTCTTTTCTTAGGTTAGGTTTGGATAGGTGTGTTGTATCTGTCCCTTAATCCTTATAATTTATCATGTATTATATTTTATAAAATGTCCTCAATTCTTGTCCCATATTTTTGAATCTGACATAAATTAATTGAGCTTTGGGACAGCAGTAATGTGTCTGTAATACTGTAAGTATAAGCATTACCATATCCAAGTGCGCCAACTTTACAAACCTGAATGTTTCATTGGACACAGTTTCTCCCTCCTTCAGTTTAGGTGTTACAGCAGCAACTATAACTTCTAGAGTACGAACGTCTGTACACATGTCCACTAGACGTAGGGCTGCAGCACAGTCAGGTAGGGGGAAACGCACCAAAACCTTCATCAGTGGCTCTACAGGTATAGGCTGGTTGGCGACAAACTTCTTCACTGCTCCCACCATCAGGGACAGGCCATGGCTTATCTGTCACAACAAAATATTTTAATTTTTGAATTTTTTAAGAGAGAGGCCTCTTTAAGGCCCGCCATTGGAGCGAGGCGAGGTGCAGGCGAGGTACAGGCGAGGCGCGGCTGATTCTGTAATACACGTGTTTAAATGGAGCACCGCACATTGAGCAGAAGCTGCAGCAGGGTTAAGGAAAACCCTACCAGGAGCCATAAATCTTTTTCATCATTCTCCTACCTTTTCTGTGAAAAAGGTTTGCACCAATGGCAATAAAAGATAATGAATGTTTGAACAAATTAGAGACATTTGTATTCTGGGTAAACTTTTCTTTGATGGTGCTCGTCGTTGTAATAGAGGTTGTTAGTTTGATCAAGGAGGACTCAAAGCCATTTATACTTATGCTTACAAATAGTTATACTGTTTATCACAATTTCAAGATTATACAGTAGGCCTAATACAACTTGCTTTCTTACAAAAAAACATATCAATGCTAATATTGTTAAAATACACAAAATTATCAGTAAGAACAAACTACTGGTATTAATTTTTTCCTCAATACACAATACATTTTAGCCATAACATACCTGAGATATAGCGGATACCACAGGTACGACAACGTCCGGATACCAAATCCCGTATCTCTTGGATAGTGTATCCACGGACATATGTAGTGAGGTGAGAAGTGATTCAGCGCGAGCCACTGCCTCCTGTATAGTCTTGCTATTAGCTTCACACACACAAGCCTGTAGTGAGGCTACTGTAGCCTCTACACGGTGACTACTGCCTCCTCTCACCAGCAACACCATCAGCTGCTGAATCTCCTGTGGAAATGTGGTTTAACCATTGTATAACTGGCAACCCTATTGAAGCTTAAGTTTGAAAAAGATTAAGAGTATGAAAACACAAAAGAAATTGTTAATTTGATTAAGGATTGGGAAGCTAGGGGAATGAATATTAAACTATGTAAAAACAATTTGATATAAAGAGCAAAATTCTACGTTATGATAGAAATTTCACCAGAGATGTTTATTTTTGGGCATTTTATTTCTCTATCCATCCAGACTTTAATCAAGGATATATCAAATGTAATACAAACATAGCTAAATAGACCTACTTGTATCATAGCCATAGCAAGTAGGCTTAAATAATTACACAGGGCAAATGTTCAGTATTTAAAAAACATCTCACTTCAATACATGTTACCATGTTATCAGTCAAGATAAAAGACTTTGCTGAATGAACACTACAAGAATATATCAATACAAATAAAAGGAACATATATTTTAAAGAGTTTTGATATGATAGCAGGCTTTCCTAAATAAGACGAATCCACTCTGATACAAGAACAACAAAAATACCCCCACCACAGCGAACCTGCAGACTAAGCGAATTTACATTTGCCTGATTTGATTTTCACTTAAAGCTATTTCAATAATCTATGGGAAGTTCGCTAAAAGGAGACGCAATTTTTTAGGTAATTCAACTCACACTGTACAAGTTGGTGTAGACGTTAGGCTCGGGTCGTTCAGCAACGTACTTCCTCAGTCGTAACTCCTGGTCTCGTACCGTAGACAGCCTCTGAGTGAAGGGGACCTGGAGAGGGAAATGACGAGCTCCAATGATCAGTGCTTGTGCTTCCTCCACAGCCAATATAGACTCCAGCTCATCTATCTGTTAGTCAAGTGAGAGTTGAGGTTGGGAAGAATCAGGTTTGTTTTGAAACAAATAACATTAACATTGAGCTTTTCCATTAATTTTACCTGACCAACTTACAGAATAGAAATAAAGTATTATTATCTTTAAGTTACAACTAAAACCAGTTGATCCAGATTCTGATGGTTTAGCAATTAATCTGGCATTGGTCTTAAACTTTTTGTGAGCCGTTTTCAGCTATTTTAGTTAGTTAAAGTTGGGATCAATCAGCAGAAATCAAGCTTGAATGACGGATGTCGGTTGTACTTTATGGAATTTAAGGGTGTTTTATTTTAATTTTTTACCATGTTTTACTACTTCCAAAATAGGCAGTGAAGCACCATTAAACAAAGAATAATGGCCAAACAGCCTACAATTTCCTTTTAAAGCTCTAAAAGTAGTGGCACTTTTGCTAGTCCAGCAATAACGGCTCTATTTTGCAGAAGTTCATAATCCAACATTTTCAATAATCCGGCACCGCCAAGGTCGTGAACAAGGCGGGTTAGCGAGCATCTACTGTACTAGCAGAAAATATTTATGGCTCAAATTCACTGTCTAGAAGCCAATAAATGTAGTTAAGTTTAGGCTGCTGCAGTGATGAAATCCAACCATCATTAAATGTACAATAGGCTATGTTGACGTGCTTGGACCTTAAGTACACCTTTTCCATCAACCAGTCTTTATCAAGGATGAACCCCCTTTCGATATTTTCCTATCCCATCATTCAACATGGCCAACCCATGAGACTCTCAAAATCTTGCCTGTAATTTTTGAAATCTTCAGAAAGAATGCAAAACCAACTGGATCAGCAAAATAAATTATAAGAGTTTGAAAATCTAAACACCTCCGAGCCCGTGTGTTTACGTTTACAGTTTGTATTTCACCCACCTCATCCTCTATGTATTTGAGTTTCAGCGCCTTCCTTTGCACAGGATCAACCTGATCCTGGTGAGAGAAGAGAGTAAACTCCATCAGTCCCAGAATGGCCCAGGCTTGACCCGTCAGCAACAGTCCTTCAGCGTTCCCATCAGCTGCAAACACAAATGCATATTATCTTGAGCCTTATTTTGTGATTTTACATGCTTCTGATTTATTTTTAGTAACCCATAGGTAGCGAGTCTCTATTAACCAACAAAAAACTACTTTTAACAGTTTTTGATGGTTACAAACCAAAGTGTATTATCTGTTTTAACACTCTTAACAATTTATTAAATTTTGTTATTGAAACATTTTACAGAATATTAACATGAATTGGTCATTTAAAAAATGTAGAATACATAATAAAGTACTTACCACAACCACTTGACACCATTTTGTCCAAAATTTGCTCAAACGATTGCAAATATCTTGAAAGGTCAAACAATAATGATTCTGCTTCAGTTCCCAGCCCTAAACACTTTATGTCTTCTTTAATCGTTTTGAATTTCAAAATATCCTTTAAAAGCACCAGGAAGTTTCTTTCATGTGGTAGCAGCCCTATTTTGTTGTGTTTCAAATCGACAGCGGCTTCAGTTTTTTGTAAAAATGACTCATACAGTTTGATAACAGTTTCTGTTTCATTTTTTCTGGAAAGGAAATATCATAATTAATAAAAATAACATGCTTTGTAAATGATAAAAGTATGGGTATATTTTTAGTGTTCCTATCAGGACCCACACTTTGTTATACTACCTAAAGCACTTAATAGTACCTAAAGAAATAAGTACAAACGATTCCTTATCTTAAAGTGGTAGAAAAAGGAGGATAGCAGCTAGCCTTTTTCTACCATTTAAAATCCTGGCCTAGAGCCTTTCCTTAAACAAAACTATCCTTATCTTAAAGATCACTGTACTCACAATAGAAATCATTTACTTCCATTCTCCAAAGTAGGCTGTTTCTTTTCTCATTAAATACCACTTTCATTGGTAATACAAACATTTAAAACTACAAAAATTACACAAATTTGGATTTCAACCAACCTGTAATCTAGGGAGGTTGAAGCTAGACTTGGAATGTAGTTCCACACAACCTCAGCCAGTGTTGCCAACATTCTGGCATGTTGTTTGTAGCTGCGTAGTGGCGGAACTGCTAGACTATGATCGGAACTGTCGTGACATCCAGGATAAAGTAAAGCAGTGATGAACAACGACAGCACCGGACAATGTAGCGGGTACGTCTCCTTTATCATAAAGACATGTTGTCTGTTTGATTATATATAAGGACAGTTTTAATGTAAACTTAAATAATTAAAACTACATAAAGCCGTTCTCAATCATTGTAATTTTTTATTAGTGAATAACTTTTTGATATTTTTTTCAACTGTTTGTGTTGGTATGGTTGTACAGATTTATTAAAATGTGTTTAAACACCTCCATTTCATTGTTTTGACGCCAACAGTTCAATCATCTTCACCTCCTCAAACTTTGCTCCCAGGTGTTGAGATCAATAAAATTAACCAAGCAAAATTACAGAGAGATAAGTTAACAAACATAAGATTATTTGCTTCTTGGAAATAAGTGAGATTATTAGATTTAAAAATGATAATTACTGTAAAAAACCGATCATCCAAAATAAAGAGGGTGACCCTGTTTGGATAACTTTTTTATTGGTTTATCAATGGCAGGAATTTTAAACCCAATTCGGTTCAAGGGGTTTTATCTTTTAAAGATAAGTTATGGATCAAAGAGATGTACAACAGTAGTCTTTATGTTATTTGAATTACTGTCACCTTGAAATCTACAACTGTATACTTCAAATCTATTTCTTAAAATAACAGTTGTTTTCTTAACATAATCCTTACAGTGTTTACGTTACCAACACCCACATCGCAAATAATTCCTGTTGTTTAGCTGATTTCCCATTGATTTAAATCTTTTACTATGATTTTGGTTGACCCTCGTTTTGGTTTATCGTAGTGTGGTTAACCACACAAACGATAACAATAATTATTTATTGTTTTATTAATAATTAGCCTATTAAATTATATAATATACGTAAGTTTTACTCTTTGATTATCCAATTAAGTTACCACTCCTTTATAGTCAATTTTATTGTGAACAAAATGGCAAAAGAATTATTAATTTATTACCTAAGGTTTTCTTTCAATAATAATTAGAGTAAAAGTTGCTGACTGAGGGTACTGCAGGCAGCGAATTAATTCTTTCCCCAATGGGTTAAAATGACTATTACTGTACCATTTAATTATAACATTTATGCCTTCAAATAACAAGAAAAAATTGTAAAAATAAAAACAGGATAGATTCTCCTACCTTTTTCGACAAAGTAATTTCATCAGACTCAGAATTTAAGTTTTCGGACTGCAAAACCTGATCCCAAGTTAGCCACAGTCGAGCAGTCGCTGGCAGGGAGAGTTGTTTTGGCTGAGGAGATCTAGCGAGTAGTGATGGTAAGAACAGAGGAACACTCTTCAACCAGCTGTGCAGAGCGTCAGTCAGCTGGTCTGTCTCATTGTTGCCAACTGCAGCCATTAGATAGAGACACACAGCCGCTCTGATAGGCCACAGAGACACCTCCCATGTTGAATTCTTTAACAGTTCCGACTCTCCCATACGTTCTGATGAGTTCCGGTTGAGCTTGGATTTGACAAGTGTGGCCTCCAAAATTCCCAACTCTTCCAACACTGTAAAGTTATATAATGAAATAACGGAAATTTGTTTACCGTTTTGGCTGGAGCACTGACAAAACATTATTAAATTGGCAATTAAATACTCACCTTACTGTAAACACTAAATTTGTTTTAACACGATGCCTACTTGCCATCACACTCCTATGAGGGGCTGGTAACACGTAGAATGTGTTAAATTTAAAAAATGGATTGAAGCTGTTTGATAATATGTTAAAAGTTATCTGTAATTAATTGTTTGATTGCTCATTGAAAGTGATACTTGATACTTTGAATTACTTCGATATGACCTGTTGGACTAAAGACTTTTTTTAGGAATGACTCATCCCCCACTGGTCTTGTAAGGAGTAATTTCCATTAGGTACTGGTTTGAAATCAATTTGTTTGCAATGGAAAGAAAAATCTTGCATTACAAAATTTTACACCAGGGGGCAGCTTTACTACGATTTCCAATATTTACTGTAAAATATTAATCCTACTAATATTATCCTATTATTAATTAATTAATATTATAAATGAGAAAGTTTGAATGTATGGATGTATGTTTGTGACAAGTAAACGCGAAAAATACTGGTCGGATCGGGCTGAAATTTGGTGTGATGATAGTTCACATTCCCGATTAACATATAGACGCATTCTTATCTCAAAAGTCCTTTCGGGCTCTGCCCCAGTGGCTCTGGAGTTTCCCATGTTAACCTTATGAGTAATCATATTTAAAAGGAATGAAAGAATTTTGTCAGCTGTTTCAACTATACAAGTTGGTTCTATGATATTAAATAGCATTAAAAAGTTATAAGGTTTACCAACAGGGTGCAGTACTATTAACTTTTTTGCATTTTGTGTCCTCTTCCCGTTGCAAAGCACGGGTACAACAGCTAGTTAATAAAATGATAAAAATATTAATTCTTTATGTAGTACGCCTAAAGTATGTTAGTAAACTACCTAGTAAGCCTAAAGGAAAGTATGTTTAATCAAACACATGTCCTATTTATAGTAGAGTACCTGGAGACCGAGCTTTGCTCGGGGAAAATCATTCCCCCACTCTGCGATGCCAGCCTTTACTACTTTCTTCACCATTTCCTACGTCATTGTTTCCCTCCCTTCTCATAGCATTTAAGTATTAGAGATGCATTAATCTAACTGACACAAACGGTTCCTACACTTTGCGATGCTAAACTTTACTACTTCCTACGTCGTGGACATGTTGTCATCTCTTTCCATTGCATTTTAGTATTTTAAATACATTAATCTAATTGCCAACAACATTTCCCACACTCCGCACTGCTAGCATTTACTAATTCCTATGTCTTGGACATCTTTCCATCCCATCTCATAGCATTTCAGTATTTCACTTTCAGATACAGCAATCGAACTGTTACAATTGGTTTCCAGTTCCCAGACTCCACAGTGCTCGCCTTTACTATACTTCATTCACCTCTTCCTACGTCGTGGACCTGTTTCCCTCCCTTCCCATTGCATTTTAAGATTGCAGATACCTTAATCTAATCCTTATAAACAGTTCCCACACTCCGGACTGTTCGCCTTGACTACTTCCTTTACCACTTCCTACGTTTCGGACCTGTTTTCCTACCTTCCCATAGCATTTTAAGATTGTTGATACCTTAATCTAATCGTCGTTAACAGTTCCCACACTCCGGACTACTCGCATTTACTACTTCCTTCGCCACTTCCTACGCCGCGGACCTATTTCCCTCCCTTCCCATAGCATTTTAAGATTGTGGATACCTTAATCTAATCGTCATAAACAGTTCCCACACTCCGGACCGCTCACCTTTACTGCTTCCATCACGACTTCCTACGTCACGGACCTGTTTCCCTCCCTTCCCATAGCATTTTAAGATTGTTGATACCTTAATCTAATCGTCATAAACAGTTCCCACACTCCGGACTACTCACCTTTACTACTTCCTTCACCGCTTCCTTCGTCACGGACCATGTTTCCCTCCCAGCCCATAGCATTTTAGGATAACAGATACCTTAATCTAATCGTCATTAACATTTCCCACACTCCGGACTACTCACCTTTACTACTTCCTTCACCGCTTCCTTCGTCGCGTACCATGTTTCCCTCCCTTCCCATAGCATTTTAGGATAACAGATACCTTAATCTAATCGTCATTAATAGTTCCCACACTCCGGACTACTCGCCTTTACTACTTCCTTCACCACTTCCTACGCCGCGGACCTGTTTTCCTCCCCTCCTATAGCATTTTAGGATTGTAGATACCTTAATCTAATCGTCATAAACATTTCCCACACTCCGGACTACTTACCTTTACTACTTCCTTCACCATTTCCTACGTCGCGGACCTGTTTCCCTCCCTTCCCATAGCATTTTAGGATTGTAGATACCTTAATCTAATCGTCATAAACAGTTACCACACTCCGGAATAATATTTACCACAAAACTAATAACAACAATTAAACGAAATAATCTGCTTGGAATAATTCAGTAAGGCCACCAGAAATTATGCGAATCGGTGTATTGTTAATCAACGCTTAATGGTATTCATCGGACTCCTTTTCTTTTGTACTGTCTTTTGTAAATAGGCCATATGTGCATGCGCAAGCTGAGATGCCCGTGGGTACAGAACGTCACGTTATGTCTTAAAATGTAAACAAAATGACAATAATGGCGGAATGTTTTCTCATAAGGCCCATGTTAAATTTTCAAAAGTTTGTACTCATATTATGGCGAAAATAGATTTTTCCTGGCTATACCACTGGTCTAGAACTTATTTTTGACACAGAACTTAGTTATTCCGTAAATATAAACGTTTTTGTTAGAGCCGATTCCCAGATCGAGTTGACAAGTATTCAAACTTTACTCGTATTATATATAGGATTACGCTACAAGGCCAGGATGTAGGTGTTTACGCTACGAGTATGACCGTTTCCGTGCGAGGATTGTCAAGCGAAGTACCGTTCTATGCGAGTACTGTAAACTTCATCCTGAATGAGTCAAGTACGATACTATATGCCACACTACCAGCAACAAATATACAGTAAAAGTAAATCACAACCCATAAATTCAATCACACACAATAAGTACTGTTTATAGGGTTACGTTTAAAACCTTTCCAATATTTATATGTGAAAGTGCAATCTGCTTGACCTGTCTAATATTTATTGCAAAGCTTTATTGATAACCTAGTAAAGAAACTCATGGTCTTTTGGAAAAAAGGGTCATGGTCACCCAAGAGTAATCAGTAAATTTACCACATTCCAGGTGACTTTACCAGTCCCTTTCTGTGAAGAACGAATCTACAAAGAGCACAGAAACCAGCTGCTTACTGTGTGGCAAAAAAATATAAAATGTTTAAATAGCATTATAGTATTTTATGTACATATTACATTAAATAAACATAGCTTTACGACTAAGAGGAGGATATAAAAAACAACAATACCATTCTCTAAGCCGTCAGTTTGTCCAATAGATTCAATCAGCTGTGCTAGTTTCAACCTTGTGTATTTTCCTTCAGGTGACAGCAAAAATTCAACCCTCCTGAGAACTAAGTCTTTATTGTGTTCGTCAGGGAATGTTAAATCGATCATGTTCTCTAATCTGAAAAATTAAAGAATAGGTTTTACACAGTGAATCTTAATGTAAATTAGTTTGTAATTTTTTTTTAATAACTAGAAACTATATTGTACAACAAATGGTCTTTAACTGTTAATATCCAATTTTGTATCAAGTTTTCATTTTTGGGTCAGAGGCAATTCCACCCTTAAATGTGTGTTCCATTTCTAGCTGGGTAGTTGAGAGGATATTTGTGTCGGTTCGATCATGAGAAAAGTCACAATCTTTTTAATAGTTTGAAACTGGTCCCAGCTGTCCTTGATCATTGGTCTTTAATAACTGATCTTGACAAAGAATTAGCAGATATTTGTCAGTAACAAATCTGTAATTTCCTTCATTCAACTCCTTATGTTCACTCATCTTTGTCTTAAAATACACACATTCGTCTATTGACGTTTATTCAATAAGAGATACTAATTAGTAATAGTTTATTTATAATAATTTCTTGCCAACAGACAAGTCAACAATTTTATGTTTAATATTTTTGTATAACAGCTTACTCTTTTTTCTCCCTTGTTTGTCCGCGCTTTTCCATGGGCGTTGGAATATTGCCTCTTTATAGCTCTTTCTGTTGTGTTTTTATAATTCAGTATAGATTAAAGTCCTTTTATTACTTTTAAAATCAAATAAATGCTTGTGTTCCATTGTTTTTGTGCTGAATTAATCCCCTCAGGGTTTCATTCTTCTTATTGTGCGTGTTCGTGAAATGGTTCTGAGGACATTCTTCGTGGACGTAGCGTCATCGGTCTATCGTGACACAAGAGATTTTTGTGAAAGATATTCGTTTGTGTTGAACTTTTACTTCAAGATAAAGATCCACCTTTTCCTAGTGACATTTCCCCCACTTTGCACCAGCATAGCTTGTACACAACGCCTTCCCCATCTCCTTAAAGAACAACAGACACTGGTGAGTGACTTTCATATCATTAATTTAATTAAGGCGTTCGCAAGCTCTTTTGGTTCCCCATCTAATTGGGTGGTCTTTTGAATGATTCTCATATTTTAACTCTTTATTTCATGTTATTACCACATTTTATTTCCCCACCAACGTTGACGTTATCTTCTGTCATTTATTGATTTATTGCATTTATAAATAAAGTTATGTTTGGACGCAACTACAGTCGACAGGCTTGCTGCCCATGTCGGCTTATTCTTTATTAACATGTGCGCTTACTTAAACATAGATGTAATGCAAAGGTTAATTTTATTTTATTCTTTTAAATTCACTTATATTTTTTTTCTTCCTTTAAATATTTTTGTACATATTCTGTAAATACTTTGTTGGAATAAAGAGATAATTCATTCATTAATTCATTTCAAAATATCCTGAAATTATATTCTTGTGTTATATCATAGATAAAACATACTCCCTTAGTAGATTAGTCATCCTAATGGAACAGCTGAAGCCAATTTTATTGTTAGTTCTGTACGTCCAACTATAGAGGTTATGTTTTGTTTACAATTTGTTTCTTGTTATTGCAGTAATTTAAAACCTCGTTTAACCTAATAAAACGATATTAACATAAACAATAACTGGTCTCCTAGTTATATAACCAAATGGTAAAGCACAAAATCATCAAAATAACCCTAAAATAATAGAAACAAAATGTTGTCTACACTAGCGATCAGTGTGGACGTACATGAACTAGACGCAAAAAACAAGCTTCAAAATTTACAATGGGATGAGGAGTCTACTTGTGTTGCTTAGTCTATGGTTATATCATCTGAAATTAATTGAATTTTAAAAGTGTCTATCGAAGTAAACTAATTTTTAGGTATATAGTAAATTATTAATTACCTATGAACTGTCTCCAACACCTTGCCTTGCAGACGATTACTCAGAGGTAGAGGCTGACCCTTCAGCACCCTCACTCTGCGACTCAGACTGCGGACAGGCTGACTGAGCGAGGAAGAAGAACAAAGTGTCCACATCATCTCACCTCTGAAACATCACACCATAACACTCAACACTGTTGTACAATTAATTTAATTTTTGATTAAATTAAGTGAAATTTGTCTGAGGAGTGGTTATAGGCTAGTGCTTGCCATTTAATCTGAATGTCGCTGGCTCAATTCAAGGGCAAGATCGATTCTGGACAAAGAGACAACTTTCTTGGGCTGTTAATGAATGATGCTACGTAACAATAGGTTTAAGTTATATAGTAACAAGACCAGGGTTTGGACCCTTCTCTTTAAAAAACATAACAAAATTCAAATAGCATAGATACAAACACACAGTAAATATTAAATGTGATGGTCCCAAAAATTCCCAGACCCATTACGTATCAGTTGGGGAGGTTTTTGTTACACCCTCAGGAAACCCTGTCTTTACCGTCACAGAAGCTTTGCTTTATTTCAAATATAAAAAGAGGGTATGTAATATTGGACTGTTAACCTCCCAGCTTTTTGCGTCAACCAGTTGCCTCACCATAGAATATTCCGTCAGCGTGGCTCAGCGCTGGGTCAGGCCAACGTTCTCGGAAAGTGTAACGCGCATGGCTGGAATTTGCTGATACAGCTCAGCAAGTCGCTCGATGAAATCAGTTAATGCGCAACTATAGTTTGCCTAATGCCCTGATGAATCGTTAGGCAGCAGCACCGTCCAGGGCTTGCACTGACGTCACGCGGCATAGCCGCAACGTGATTGGTTGGTTCCCCTCCACGCCCAACTCTGGGCTATGGGCAGAGCGCACTCGGTTGAGTTAGTCTAAATTCTAAATTCGGCTCGGTCGGTCATCTAAATTGTCGCCTTTCCCTCACTCTTCTAAAATGTATTTTAACATGAAAATCTGTAACTTAACTTTGTAAATCTAAGCGACTCATATCCAAATTGTATTCTTTCTTAATCGTCAGCTAGTATTGGTAACTATTAATAAGTATCGTGTTTGTAAACTAAACGTAGACTAATCACTCATCTTTCTGCAGCAAGTCGATAGCTAAATACTTTACTACTGTTTTTATCATAAGTAAATAAATTATTTATTCGTAGTGCATTTTCGTTGCTTCATTCGGCTACCTGTCACATAAACCCAATAATTTGACATAAACCACTACATAAATTATATTTCTTCTATCTTTTCTGGCTTAATAGAAACCGAACATTTTCCTTAGCAAACTATAAGTTAAACGTTCATTTTATTCAAGATAAATATGAACTTGAAAATTCATGTTCAGATATAAATTATGACTGCTTGTATCTTATTAAGGTTAGTATTAATAGAATATTCACTTAACTATAACTCTTTCAAACCCTTACCTTTAAACTTAAATTAAATCTCTTTACCAATTGATTTAGTGATACTTCAATACTCTTTTCTCTTTTAGGTACACACCCAAAATAAAATCAAAACTGAGGATGTAAATCAGATTTTACAGGAATCGTCTGTTATTGATATCGTAAGTCGTAATTTTACTGTAGTTTTACCTCTTCAACATATCTAGTGGGAGTCTAGGAAGCAAGTACTTCTTGACCCAGTGTACGTGTAGACTGAGCAACATCAGTAGTTCCTTCTCTACTTCCATCTCACGGCTGCGGCTGACAAAGAGCTTACGTCGGGCGACCTGCGCCAGCCGGTGACCCCAGTGGAAGGCAGAGATCAGTTGGCAACACTGAGTCTCATCTAGTTGCCAACCTCTGCTATCCAACAGTTGGTGCACCTGGTCTTCCAGAGACTCCAGGAACAGACTCAGCTCCAGAATGACTTGCGATCGTACACTGGCTATGGTCACTTGGCCTGCGGAAAATATTGATCACAACTTTAAATTGAACAGATTTGATATTAATGGGGTCACCGCACTAAACCAACACTTGAAACTTTACATTAAAAGCCACCATTATACAGGTATTAAGTTTTTCATATCGATAAATCCATAAAAAGATAAAAGAAACTAGTAGTTTTATGCGACAACTGAAAAAATATATGACAAACATACCAGTTACCTTGTGCAATTTGTTTACCTGCTGCTCAACCTAATTAAAAATTTTTTTTAATAGTCTTACATTATGGCAAACATCAAAATTAATCAGTCTTATAGCTGTATAATCCTTCGATATTTTATGTGTACTATTTTTCTGTGTCTTTGGCAACCTTATTTTTTAAGGCAGAGGTATTTATTTTTACAAATAAATTCTTTTCTCTTAGTTCCAAAATCTTTTAAAAGTTGATATTTTATGTTTAGGCCCTAAGTATTATATTACTTTGTAAAAAAATATTGTATGTTGCCGATTTAAGATTGTCTTTATATTGATAGATTTATTTATCAATTATTTTTATATACAGCATAAGAATTTTCATTTTACATACCCCTGATAAATATTTACACTGATTGAAATTCGCTACTTATCTTTACACTACATTTAAGAACAGCAACAGCTCATGTTTCTTAATATGTTTTCAGCACCTTGATAACATGCACGCTGCGCTATGATAAAACTATTGTCTATTGATGAAATAGTCTCTTTCAAACAATCGAGAAAAAAATTTAATTTATTAATAAAGTTATGATTCATTGAAGAACAAATAATATTTGTTGTTAAATTGTTTTACAGAACAGAAATACAGAATACAAATACATAAATATGGCAAACGCTAAATTTAGGGCTTCCTGTAAAAAACATTTCAAAAATCAGTCCATATTAACTTTCCCCAGCCTGTTCATTTATGAAAGCCTTAATTTTGTCCATGAAAATAAAAAAGATTTTGAAAAGTTCTTAATAAAAAATAAATACAACACTAGGAACAAGAACCTTTACAGTTACCCAATCCATCGGACAACAAAATTTGAAAAATGTCCTTTTTATACAGGCCTGAAGCTGTACAACCATTTGCCGAATAAATTTAAACAATTGGCAGTAAATGTTTTTAAAGTTAAAATTAAAGAAATTCTACTGGATAAGGTTTATTATTCCATCTCAGACTTTTTAGCAGACACCTCCTTGGGATAGTCATTGTACATTTTTATTGTTATTGTAATCTTCTATGTTTTATGTAAAATGTTTTTTCCATTGTATTTTATTATTAAGATTTATGTAATTGACAAGACACCAGTTACTGCTATAAGCACCCAATGTAACGTTATTTGTGTCAATAAATTGATTTGATTTGATTTGATTTGATTTACAATATTATGCATTCCAAAATGGTTCTAATACTATAAAATGCACATATGAAGTAATCAAAAATTATAAAGTCAAAGTAATGAAATTTACCTTTGTTATACGATGTGGAAAAATCCAACGCAGACATTTTTTTTACACTCTTGTTATCCACTTCTCCAAGTTTCACCCCGACTTGTAAATATTGTTTGAAATAGTAGAGCAGTGCAATCGTTTTATTCTCACTATCAAACTTCTCATGGTCTAACAACCAAGATGAAACTCTCCGTAAATCCCAACACAAATCCTTACGATTCACTCCTTCTATGCTGTTAAATTTTTCCTTTTTGATAGCCTGAAGAACTGTTGATGTCAAAAACTTTTCCAGCTCAGAAAGTTTGTTCCTAACGTCAGTATCTTTACAAGACATTACTTTCGTTAGAATATAACTACGTTTCGTACTCAAATGGTTTTCTGATAAACAGCATAGCGACGTGACAAGTATTTGTGGAAGGAGATTTTTCATGTCTTTGTCAAAAAATTGTTCACTTAATTTGGCTTTTTCAAGGTCGTCTTTCAGCAAATCTTTCAGACTATGATTTTCAGAAGTTGCTGAGAGTCGTAGGGCAGAAGACAACAAAGCACATCTCTGCTGTAGCAGCGCAAATGAAGAGTTTTCTTGAAGGTCAAGTGTTGTTAATGTTGATGTACGAACATCCAGGACGTCTCTGACATCTGATTTCAATTCCAAAATTGGCTTTTGTGAATCAATTATTTCATCAAGTAAAGAGGTGCACCTACAAACAGATGACAAAGACAGTTCAAGTTAGCTTGCAAAATATTTATTTACATATCTGAAGACCTTAAAGAATGCATACAACTGTACTGTGTAGGCTTATAATTCATACAATATTCCCAACAAAACTGCACACTCAGTAAATTAAAAATAGGTATTTACCTTCGTCTACAGCTCAATCTGTTGTAACTTGGGTTACGGCCGTTTCGGCATTATAATGCCATCGTCAGACGTTGAACATTCAGCTGAAGTAGCGTCGTTATAGTTGAAACACATAACACGAACACGAATAACATTTTACAATTACTAACGAAGACACAACCGTATAATGCCGAAACGGCCGTAACCCAAGTTACAACAGATTGAGCTGTAGACGAAGGTAAATACCTATTTTTAATTAATATCACAGCTCAGGGGCTAAAAATGGATTTTAACTCAGTAAATGTCTAGTTAATATACTAATTTTTATTTTTAAACTTTATAATGAGCAAAAATATATAACTTACTAAGATCTAAACCTGGAATAAAAAACACTGGCTTGGTAAGTACATCAGTTAACTGTGAAAATGAACATACAAATTTGTATTTATTGTTAAACTTTAAAAGCAGACAATGGAGTAATTAATCTGTCAAATTTTAAGAGTATATATACCAAATGATGTACCAAATGATATACCAGTGGGGCTAGTACTGTCTTCTTAGTTAACAATAATTTGAAATTTGTATTAATAGAAATTTAGCCTAAAAATTTATATTCAAAATGTATCTTATACATTCAGTTGTTCATCACCTCTGCCGGTGATCAAAGGTCAGTTGGCGTCCCTGTACGTAAACATCGCCACAAGCCAATCGTAAGGCCTCGTAAAAACTCTGCCCTCTCAACACTTGTTGCTGAGTTAACGACGCCACTTGTAACAGATGATTGAGCGTCACACTTTCCACTCCTGAGGAAGAACAAAACAATGAGTTACATGCATTATAATGCCTCAGAATAGTTATAATTCCTACTAATGCCTTGTGTGTGTGGACACGGACAAATTTAGCTTGTTTAAAAAATGTTGCAAATGACAACAATGACAGACAATATCAATATCAATTTTATTGCGATTTTCTCTCTTATCATATTTGCAATCTGTGATCACAGCACCACCAACTGTTATTATCTTCCACAGTCACCATCGTCACCCGCCATAGCGGCAAAATCGTTAACATCTCACAACAGTAGAACCAATACCACCTTCTCTTGGAATAGCGGCAATATATTTATCCACTTGCGGTTAAAGAGACATCATCACCATCGCCTGCTATACCAGTAAATGTACCTACATATAAATTATAACTACATCTATCGCAAATCTACTTTACAATAGTTTCTCCTTTGTTAATGTATATAAAAAACATCACCAACACCGACATACAAGATCCACTGGATCCGGAATCAAAGATCCACCCTTAATACAATAGCCATTGTAGTTTAATTGAAAAAACAATGTAGCAAGACCATTAAAACCCACTTACCAATGGATACATTTTTCACTTGTTCATGGATGTTCATCAATGCTTTTTGGCGGTTGTAGTGAAAGATTCCCATGCGACTCAGGATAGCTTGAAGATCCATAAACTGCATTTTGTTCTCCTCTGGTCCAAGAAGACAAATCTCAACACCTCTGTTTCTCATAGCTCTTCAAAAATATTTTCAAAACATCAATCAGTATTGAAACACATGAAAACCAATTAGAGGCTACAAGCAAACAAGCATTCCAATAATTTAGTTTTATGTTAAGTGTTGATAAATATATTGTTGACTAAATTAAATTAGGACAGAGATGGAAGAAAATTCAATTGGTGGTTCCAAGTATTTTTTGTCGTTAAAAGATGATTTTTCACACTATCTATCGTTTTGTTTAGTTTCTAAAGACAAAAAAATGAAGTATTTGGCTTGAAGTTGGCCTTAAACTAGCTTGTGTGTAGTCGTGACGAGAGCTCGGTGGATACCTTTATTTATTGACAACCATTGCATTTTTTTACAGCCCAAAAATAATTAAAACAATGGCTAAACCATGAAATTTTGCTGTGGTGATAATTCATTATGAGAAACGCCATAGTTTCTTGTTTCTGTCCTAATAAAGTGCAAACAGTATAAACAAATTATTTTACCTGGATATTTCGCCATGGTTAGGATTCATGATCAGAAAGAGCCGAAAGTCAGGGTGAGGTTTGATAGTGACAAGCCGTCCGTCAGCGTCCACTCCCCTCTCCCCCACCACCAGCTCGCCCCCGGGCTCCAGCAGTCCGTTGAGACGGTCCAGGACTGCGGAGCTGCATAGGTTAACATTATCCACTGCCAGCCAACAGCCTTCACGTAGACACTGGACAGTTGCAAAATGTTTAATTACAAAACTAGAGCTCTTAAGTTCCTGGAGAGTAATACTTACTTACTTACTTTGTATTGAAAAGTTTAATTATCACTAAAATCGATAAACTTTTGATGATCGGTTTACTATAAGATGTTAGCGTATGTAAGAAAAGGTGATGTCAGCGGTATGTCTGCATTTAGCTATTGGTCTGCTTTTAACAAAGGCGAATTGCAGACTCACACTGAGTCAGACTCACACTTAATGTTAAGGGGCATGATATTTATTTTAAGTTAGACACTGGAGCAGATGTTTCTATAATTGGATATGATCTTTGCAAGGAGTTAAAACTGGAAACGAGTGAAACAAGTAAAATATTATTTGGTCCGGGGAAAACTAGGTTGAAAGTGGTTGGTAAGATCGTTGCTACTTTAGTGTTTAGAAATAAATCTATTGTAGAAGATATTTACGTCATTGAGCAACAACCTACTCCACTTTTAAGTAGAAATGCAATGTTGAAATTAAACCTAATTCAGTTCAACATAGATTCGATTTTCTCTAACCAAATATTTTCTCAGTTTTCTGATGTTTTTGGTTCTTTTGGTGAAATGAAAGGGGAAAACTACAGAATTGCACTAACACAAAATGCTCGTCCCTTTGCTGTGGCAGCCCCTCGTAGAGTGTCCGCTCCATTATTGAGCAAAGTCAAAGAAGAATTGGATCGACTGCATTCTGAGGGAATAATTGAGCCAGTGGTAGAACCAACAGACTGGTGTGCACCAATTGTTGTTGTACCGCGTAAGACAGGTGATAGAGTGAGGCTATGTGTTGATTATACCGAACTCAACAAAAGCATTCAGAGAGAAAGGTGGCAACTACCAACTGTAGAAGAAAGTCTAAGTAAATTAGAAGGCGGACAAATATTTTCATTACTAGATGCTACAAATGGATTTCTTCAAGTTCCTTTACACCATGAAAGTTACAAGCTTACGACTTTTATAACTCCTTTTGGGCGATTCTTTTTCAAGAGGTTACCATTCGGTATTAATTCTGGCCCAGAGGTTTACCAGAAGAGGATATACCAAGTTTTGGATGGACTGGATGGGGTAGTAAACCAAGCAGATGATATACTTGTGGTCGGTAGAACACAGGAAGAACATGACCATCGACTAGCAAATGTATTACAAAGATTGAGAGAACACAATGTTACACTTAATAAAGATAAATGTAACATTAATGTGAACAGAGTTAAATTTCTAGTACATTTGATTGAAAATGGATTGATAAAGCCTGATCCTGAGAAAGTGGAGGCCATTATGAAAATGCAAACCCCAAATAATGTTAACGAACTTCGGCAATTTCTTGGCATGGTTAATTATTTGATGAAGTTTATCCCTAACTTGGCTGAAGTTACAGCTCCATTGCGAATTTTACTTAAGAAAGGTTATCAGTGGGTTTGGTCTGACGTTCAAAAGAGTGCTTGGGATAAAATTAAATCCCTAATTTCTTCAAATCCAGTTCTGGTGTCTTACAACAAAAATCGTAAAATCAGAGTTGCAGCTGATGCCTCGTCATTTGGCCTGGGAGGGGTGATTGAACAATTTGTGGATGGAAAGTGGAAACCAATCACCTATGCATCGAGATCTTTATCACCGACAGAGATGCGTTATGCTCAGATAGAAATGGAGGCACTGGCACTGACTTGGGCATGTGAGAGATTTTCACAGTATGTTTTAGGAACAGAGTTTGAACTTATGACTGACCATAAACCTTTAGTTCAGGTGCTTGGAAGTAAACAAATCGCTAGTTTATCGGCAAGACTTCAGCGGTTAAGAATGAGAATGGCTTGTTTTAGATATTAAGTAACATATGTGAAAGGAAAGGAATTTTATGTACCAGATGTTTTGTCTAGGAACCCCATTAAGTCAAATGAAGAACATGTATTTTAGATGCTATTACTTGTTCTGACAAAAGGCTCAAGGAAATCAAAGAAGCTCAGGATACTGATGAGGAATGCGGAAGAATTAAATCCTGGATTGTGAATAACAATTGGAATAAAATTTTGGTGTATTGGAAGTACAGGACTGATCTAAACATCAGTAAAGGATTCCTCCTTTTAGGCACAAGACTGTTTATTCCAAAATCGTTGAGAAAGGAAATACTGAGTAAAATAAATGAAGGTCACATGGGAATTGTCAAATGTCGAATGCGAGTGTATGAATCGGTGTGGTGGCCTGGCTGCTCAACAGATATTGCTACACTTGTAACAAATTGTCCAGTTTGCTTGGAGCAAAGAAGTAACAAATCAGAACCTTTACTGTTGACTGAACTACCAAAAAATCCCTGGGAGTCTTTAGGTATTGACCTTTTGAAATGTAATGCGAAATGGTATTTAGTTGTGCAAGACTACTATTCTAGATTTCTTGAACTGGTTTATGTGGATGCATTGACTACTGGAGCTGTGGTTGCTAGATTGAAAAATATATTTGCTCAACATGGAGTGCCATATGTGGTAAGAGCTGATGGAGGTCCGCAATTTACTTCTCAGGATTTTAAAGATTTTGCTGAAGAATATGGTTTCCGTATAGTGACATCAAGCCCAAGGTATCCACAATCAAATGGAGAAGCAGAAAAAGCAGTTGACATAGCGAAGCGGATTCTAACGAAATGTAGTGACCCAAACCTTGGGTTGTTAGAATATAGAAATACATCCTTAGAGTCTGGTCTTTCACCTGCAGAGTTACTTTATTCACGGAAGCTCCGATCAACATTACCGTCAATAAATAACTTCAGACAGGTAACAAGGGAAAGATTGCAAAAGTTTAAAGAGAAGGATTTTTCAATCAAGGAAAGAAATAAGAGAAACTACGATGTAAGGAAAGGTGTAAGAGATCTCTCACAGCTTGATCAAAATGACAAAGTTTGGATTCCAGATTTAAAACGTTATGGACATGTTGAGAATAAATCAAATCATCCTCGGTCCTACCTGATAAATACACAGGCAGGGAAGATCAGAAGGAACAGGAGACATATAATAGCTGTGCATAGGCCTATTGAAAATGGTGAAAATAGATTTGAACACCAATACCAAGAAGACCAAGGAACTGAAACTGATGCTGGACATAATTACAATAGCAATGAAAATGACAGACCTAAAAGAAGTGTAAAACCACCTCTTAGATACAGTGATTCAGATTTTTATAAATAAACTAAAAAAAGAGAAAAGAGAAGATGTGCTGTTTGGAATTTTTATAATTGTTATCATATGTTGCATATTTGATGTTTGTTTTGATTGTATTGTTGTTTTGAGCTTGAAGACTTACTTTTGGGATCTTGGCTAATAAAGTATCTATGTTTAACTGTGGTGTGAGTTTTACCTTTCACTTCAGAATCAACAAAACAGCTTTTAAAATACTCTTGGTTTCCTGGTCGGCTCGACACACTGGTTAGTACACCAGAACACATAGGCCTAGTGTTTTGTTTTTTAACTTAGCCTTTTCCCAAACAGGTAGATTGGGTTAGAGAAGTTCAGAGCAGGACTCTGATGTGCAATATTTTTATGTGTGTTTCAATATTATTTTGCAACAAGATATAGGCCTAGCTTCTATAAGCATTATCTGTAATTTATAAAAGGCATTTTCAAGATTTTTATTTTAGTCAATATTATAATTTAAAATCAGGAAAAGTATTTAATATAATGCAAACTTGTATTTTCCATACCTTTACTAAAACACTGTCAACCCATTCAAACGTTTCTCCTCCTACACCCACTTTAGTTGAGGCAAACCTTTCCTCCAAAGTGTTTGCTTTCTCTTGAAGTTCGCTGACGCATTGCTGTTTTGGGAGGCCGTTCAAAACATTCTGCAATGCCCGCAGTCGTTTACTCAAACGTTTTAGAGTAACAGATAAAGTTTCATGGCCTTGAATATCTACAGGTTCTGAAAAGAAATATTATGTTCTATATAATTTGTGATGTAGGGCCTACCAGTACATAGGTATTTTAAGTTTATTCAATCTCAGCATAAGCATCTGTAATATGATTTTTTTTAAGAGTTAAACTCTATTTCAAACCTGTCCTAGACTAATACGTACATTTTTAAAACGTACATCATATCAAAACATTCTAAAACGAAGTAAAAATATAATTTTGTCTTATTAGGTTGCTTAAAAGCTTGAAATTATTTTATTTCTGGTATATTTTTGCCCCCAAATCACAGAAGCATATAGGCTAGCCTATTAGGTTGGTTTATTAATGTTGGCTTGCAAACTCCAAAGTGAGACTTCGGAAGAGAAACTTCTCACAAAATTTGAAGGAAATCTGTGAAAGAATTGGGGCCTCTAACCTGCAAACTCTCTCGTAGAGACTATTCTGAAGAGATCCTCACCCTCAAAATGACACCTGGTGTCATGAAACTAACTTCAATAATCAACCTACGCCTAAGTCACAAGGTTCATGTGATTCCACCTGCTCACATTTCCATTAAAAAATAGGCCTACTGTATCAAGTAAAAATACAACCAAGGGAAGCAAACTATTTCATATAAAGTAAAAAATGATTGGTATGTCTTAAATTAACTAGAACAAAAATATTTCTTACCGATCTTTGAAAGCTCAAGATACTGCTCCCATTGTGACATAAGGTTTGCTCCAAGATCTATTTTTCCAGCAAGAAAACATTTTTGTACTTCAACAAGAGCAATCCTCTTTACTTGTTGTGCCAGATGCTCAAGCGACCTTCCTTTGTCATCCTAAACAGATTTATGTACAGTACCACTGTCACACTCATATAACTTTACACTAGACAATAACAAATTAACACAGTTGACTAAAAAAAAAATTAACAAGTTGAGATAACAAACCACAAAGTTTTACAGAGATTGCTAGGCTATGTTCTAGAATCCATTTTGTTATGTTTTTGAGGATAGGCCTATGTGGGGAGGCAGTGGGTCTAAGCTGTCTAGGCGGGGCTCCGTACATAACTTATTCTCTAAAAAACTGGACCCTTTACCTTCACAAAAGACCTCTCATAACCTTGGTGTAATCTTGGATTACTTCAGGAGTGGAAGTCATAGTCTAGAATTACAAACCTTGCATGACTTCAGTTTTAGGAGTTAAATATATTTAAAATTAAATAAAAGGTTTAATATACTGTTCCAATTTTTGATTACCGATACTGTTGCAGAGTGAATTGGTGTGACGGGCAAACCGTCTAAGTTTAGGTGTTAGTGCTGTCAAGGGCGACAGGTCGTTGGTCGAGGCAACAAGTGTGTTAGCAACAGGAGGGGGCACTAAGAGTGATTAAAATAACTTAATTTATACTACAGTAGTGAATTTGGGATGTTTAACAAGGAGAAGACTTGTTAATCCTAAGTAATTGTAAAAGATAAGGTTATTAGTTCAAATCTGACATTAGCGACGCCTTCTTTACTTTGCTCACAACTATTCTAGCCACCTAGGCAACGTTTTGCCTTGTCAGCAGCCAAAAAGGGTAGACTTTTGTATCTGTTGGCACAAACAACCGAATGAAAATATCGATAGATATATCGATTATTCGATATATCGTTTGGTTGGTTCGGTAAGGTTAACCTAACTAACCAAACGATATTTTGAATGAAACAATCGAATAATCAATATTTTAATTCATTCTGTTGTTTGTGCCAACAGATAACTTACAGAAGTCTACCCCTATATTATAAACTCTTGGCCCCCCATCGGTAGATAGATCTATACCGGTATCGTACTTGAGCTTACTGACTTGAGCTTATTTTAATTGTTGATAGATTTGATTTTGCATGTTTTATTTATTTAAATGACGAGCCTAGTTATTGTAGGCTATTTAATGGCAATAAAGACTTATGACTTATCGTATTGTATATTTTACGAAGTAGGACTACTTACCATAATTGAAGTTTTGACTTCGATATATCTATACCATCAAAGATTAACAATCATCACTATTCAAATTCATGCAGATCACCATAAGCTACACCTACTAAAAGAGGTTAGTTTTGATATAGACAATAATTTTAGTATTTATTTTGTGACCGTCATAATTTCCTCACAATTTTGACAAATAAAAAACTTCATCATGGAAAAAAGTATTTGCAATATGGTTAAAAAGTAAAACCGCAGAAAAGTTTTTAATTTATTACTGTTGCTATAACCACTATAACCTAACTTAGCCCAAAAATTATCACAACCACAACAAAACAAAACATTGCAAGCACATGGCATGTGGCGCTGGCAGACACTAGACAGTGAGTGAGTGAGTCAGTGAGTGAGCATTGAGCAATTTTTGGAGTGAGTGAGTTAAGTACTGCTACTCGCTACTGACTGAGTTTAGTTGGAGTAGACTAGACTGTTGTTGTGGTTGTTGTAGAGTAAACAAGAAACAAACGAAGGAACTGAGAAGAAGAGCGAGAACGACTGAAGTCGAAGTGAAGTGAAGAAGAAGAAGTGAAGAGTGAAGTGAAGTGACTGAAGTGGTGAGAAAGGAGAGAATGGCCGCTGTCAAAGAAGTTGTGGCGCTTTATCAAAAATTAAAAGCAGAATGGACGAAGAAACCACAAAATCTTGAGGCGTGTGGGCAGTTATTATCCAAACTTAAAGTGAGTTTTTACAAATTAATTGCCTTAGGCCAAATCGCATTTATGGATAATCACGTATAGGCCTATTCCTCAGAGGTCGAGGTTATGTTTTTATTACAGAATTAAAGTAATTTTAGGAGTAAATTTGTAACGGCCTTGAAAATTAAATCTCTAAATTAGTTTAAACAACCAATGTTATTTCCTCAGTGGACTTATCGCTTGACTAGGCACAAGTTAGCCTAAGTTATAGCCTACTCTAAAAATATGCAAGTCATTGTAGGCTATGTAAAATGTCTATGTCTAAAACTGTTCTAAACTAACCTAACAAACCAAACTTGCTGTAACATTTCAACATTCCGTTTGATAGCCTATTCCCCACATGCAATATGTTATCAAACGAATTTTTAAACAGTAAACTTAACTAGCCTACAGCAAGTTTGGTTAGGCCCTAGGCCTACTTATGTTAGGTTAGTTTAGAATAGTTTAATCCCCTAACTTACTAATCCAATATAGGCCTATGGGCTATTATTTTTGCCTGAAGAAGGTTAGTTCTTAATTTGTAATTTAAATGCGTTTGAAGGTATAAAAACAGAAGGAATACAGAAGGATTGTGAAGTAAAACTAAAATATCAATATATCAAAAATAAATAATCAAGCCTATAACTTAGTAATGACTGTTCCCTTTAACAGGAAAGTATCGCTGGATCAAGATTTGAACCATCATGAAGCTATACTCTTTTCTCAGGATCGAAAGAATTAGCTATGTCCCAGGATATAACAAATAGGCTCAAGCCTACAGTTTGTCTAATTGGTATTTATTTCGTATAGGTGCCTCCAAACAAATTGTTAATTTTGATATCTTACTTTATAGTTTTTTACCTCCTGAATCCAAATATACCATTATTTTTCACTGCTGATAAATATTTCTCAAGATATCGCCGTAAAAACATGCTTAACATTACAATAGGACAAGATAGGATGGATAACATTTCAAGTGATTCTGTAGTCAAATAACTTAATGTTCTCTATAATAGGAATTTCGTCACATTATGGAGATACAGTATAGATGGACTGGTGGACTAATTACTTGTAGTTCTTATTTAGGCATGTCAGGGTGGTAGGTCGTGCTGTATGTGAATTGGTAACTGCATTAAGTGTTTTGAAGTTAGGTTAGATTAGGAAGGTAAAGTTTAGGTTATAATGTATCAAGTTGTTAGTTTATGCTGCCTGCAGACTGTTTTTGTAAAATTAAAATCCTGAGAAAAACACTTCAAATTACTTTTTCAAAAATACTTGCATTTTTGAAATAGTAATTTGAAGTGTTTTTTCTGGATTTTAATTTTCCAAAAATAGTCTGCAGGTAGCATAAACTAACAACTTGATACATTATAACCTAAACTTTAACTTACCTAATCTAACCTACCTTCAAAGGACTTAATGCAGTCACCAATTCACATAAAGCACGACCTATCACCCTGACATACCTTTTCTGACATCAAAAGGAGTTTGCTTACACATTCTAGAGGTTTGGTTAGGTTAGGTTATGTTAGAATAGCACCATTTTAGTATGTAATTTCTAACCCTCCAAAGGTCCATAGTTTAGGCCTTAATGTCCCACCTATTTTTGGTGCATTTGCAAGGTTTTATTAAAACGGATCTGAGAAGCTTAAAACAATGTTAATTCTAATGTTCTATATACCATTTTGTTTGGAAAATCATGGGCTTCAATGTTATATATAAAACATAAGGAACATTAAAAAAAAAAAAATTTAGGTAAAAAAAAATATAATTTCGAAAATTTTCAAAAAAAAAATAAGTTCGCGCTCAATGAAATTGTATAAATTATAGGCCTATAAATATTTGAAAATAGCCACTTTGTTCTAAATTTAATGAGGATTACAAATATATAATCATATAGCTACAGGTAAGTTATCAAATAAATAAGTTATGAGCGAAAAACGGATTTCAGTACATAGCGTTTAGCTAAGAATGCATAGCCTAACCATAGCTAGGAATCTGGCTGATAATTTACATCAATATCACTACCTACTTCTTCAGGATCATCAACCAGCACTTCAAAACCACTTAAATCTTCTTATAATGCACCACGTATATCACTACTTTTGATTTTTAACACTAAAACAATGATAAACATAATAAAACACATCAGTCATCGGTCCTAGGTTAACTACCCTGTTTACTAATATGCACGTCAGCTGTCTGCTACAATTACGATCGGCTCAGAGAACAAACAGCGCTTAGAGACAGACATTTAGAAAGCTTAGAATCTATTGAAAAGAACGATACCTAACTCGATCCAGTTCAATCCGATTCAGTCAGTCATAGAGCCTTCGCCGTAAACGATGTTTGTGCGTCTAAAAATAGACGCGTGACACTACACAAAGTGTGTTGTGCGTCTATTTTTAGAAGCGTGACCCACGGAGGGCTAAACGGCGAAATATAAATCAATAAATCATTAATAAGGATAAAATACCCATGGTACATTCCACTTTTAAATGGCATCCATCCTACCTTGTTTATTGTAATGTTGTATATTATTACGGCGATATCTTGAAAAATATTCATCAGCTGTGAAAAATAATTGTATATTTGGATTCAGGAGGTAAAAAACTATAAAGTAAGATATCAAAATTAAAAATTCGTTTGGAGGCACCTATACGGAATAATTACCGTCTAATTAATAGAAAGTTTGTTAGCTCACTTACCATCAGACAACCTAATTATTGTTGGCTCATGTACACAACCAACTGCGTCACTCCCAATGTGATCTAAATTCTGATAGGAGACGGGTACTTTTAATTTCATCACATTGAGTTCGTTCAACCTAGGCTAACTTACTCTTCACCAAAGCCGATAATTAGGCTTAACTTTCTGCATTAAGTAACTGATAAATAACTGTTGAGCTTACTGCAACAAAAATAGGCTACATAGTTAACAACATCTATGGCTTTCCTCAATAAATTTTTTTTTCAAAACAGACAAAGTTTAGAATAGTAAAAGAGTTTGATATGCGTTAGCAATATTTGATCTCTAGACCAGCAACTTGTATGATTGCTGTGTCGGCTTCTGCCAGTCGGGGGGGGGGGGGAGTTAGACCGAAAACAGTGCCCGCAGTACCACTGAGAGCGTAATCCAGTTGTTCTTTGTTTTGTTGGCCTAGGCCCTAAGTTTTAAAGTCTTTTGATTCCTTTCATTACTAATCCAATGGTCTAAAATGTATTTATGCCTAGTTGGTAAGTAGCCTAATTGCATTTTATTTTCAAATATTGGTTGTCTACCTGCAACACTTTGAATGAATGACTGATGTTATTGTTGTTAGCTTTGTTTATTTACACTGTTGTTCTAGTCATATCTGTGGTAAATTTGTATTGTTGTTGTTTGCACAGTTGTTAGTTTATATTGTCGTTAGTCTATTTTATATTGTTACTTCTCTAATTATAATGTAGGCTACTTCACATCATATGCGAAGCACTATGTCATTGTAATTTCATCATCATGCTTCTTCATTCAACTTCTTAGGCATCCATAAGTTCTTCTACATCTTGTCGCTTGTATGCCTTATCTTAGCCTATATAATTCTTTGTAATTTGGTGGCTGCCATTGAAATATAAATCAAATGAGCACAATCTAAGCAAACCCCTTACAAGGTACGACCAGCAGGCCTAATCTCTAAAACTGGCTGGGCAGCTGAGTGGTAATAGTGATCGTCTAACAATCAAAAGGTTTCCAGATTAATACTGAAAAAAGTCAGAAGCTTTTTGATGATTTGAAACTGCACCTAGCTGTCCCTAATCATTGAACTTTAAATAAATGGTTCTGGCTAATTAAACAGCTGATCTTAGTCATTAACAATAGCAACGCTACACAGTTTATCTCACCATCTACACTAATTCTTCGCTCTTAAATTTTGGTTAAAATACGCACCTAGGTAGCGTCCTTTTCTCAATTGATAATAACAATGAGTTCAACCTATAGCATTCCCTATATGTAATTATTCTATGATATTTAAACTAAATTAGGCTTTTAATTACCTAAGTACCTAAGAATTCACATCTAAGTTAGCATATTCATCCAATTCATTTAACTTATCAGTAGAGATTGGCTTTACAGTCATCAGTCATTATTTCTTCCAATTCTCATTATTCTTATGATAATGATGATGATGAGTGCTGGTTATCTTCAATGTCTGCTTGCGTTTGAAAATAATTGATTTTGCTACGTACACATGATTGTCAAGAAATGCTATTGCCTGTAGAAATCGAGTTGTATTGTAACTTATTGTTGTAGTGAGTAGGTCAAAATTGTTCAAAGAAAGAAATTTATTTGTATTTTTTTCAGGTTGGCTTGACCAGTTTAATGTTTCTCCCAACATCAAACTCGAAGGCTTCTCAGCAGGAATTGCTGTTGGCCCGTAAGTATTTTTACATTTTATGTTTGAACTGAAACGGTTTCATAAAGCTCTCTGAACACAGACCTATGCAGGAATCTGCCTAGTTAGGAATTTTACCCACATGTGGCCAAAAGTATTTTTTAAAGTTTCATTCACCAATAAGATTTTACAGATGTATCCTTGTCTACCCA